GATTTTAAATGCAACTTTTAGAAATCTTGTGTAAATATTGCAAGAGACTGAGTTTTGTTGTCCCATCTTAGTAGCCTATAGACCTCCCCAAACTTTTTCTCTGAGGTCTCCCCACTCCTTTGGCCCCTTCCTCAACATGCTATACAAATTCCACAGCCTGTGAAACAACTAGCCGGTAGATTAGAAGCCTGGGTTGGCATAAGGGGTAGCAAGCAGGGCAACTCCCCAGGGTCTCAAAGTTAAGTTGCTCCGGCATCAGCTTCAGCCCCAGGGTCTTCCTGTGCTGGGTCCCAACATGTCCAATACCAGCCCTGCTCTCTGGTTTATTTTGGCAGACTTCTTGAAATTTGCTTGCAGCCCCTGAAGGGTACCAGACCCCTGTTTGAGAACCACTGTTGTAGGCACTTCTGGAAGCTCTAAACCACACAGCTGGCATTGACTGCAGTGCACTATGTAGCTTGCTGACCTACCCTAATGACTTACATCAATAGCAAAACAAGACACATCGTGCTGACTGGTCACCACAAAACAATCTGAAGATAGTTCCCAATACCACAACAGCAGTTGGAACAACTCTTTGAAAGCTGTTATACAAGCCAAGACCCTTATGAACACACCATTATTTCACATGGGTCACCTTGAACAGGAGACTATTTGGTTTCTATTACAGAAACCCTTTTAATTTACAGCCCATTGAGCTTAAAAAAAACCCCAAAACACAACACAACCTACTGCTGATCTTGTGCAAGATTAGGTAAACTTCCCAGTTGGGAAGACACTTACCACAGAGCTTTAGCAATGAGAGCGAAAGACACAACCCGGAGAGAAGTAGCCATCTTTTCACCATCCTGCTAGTCTTCAGTTGGCTACAAGACAAACAAAAAGAAGTTTTGTTTAAGCACCTGTACGATTTCAGCCACAGAGCAACCCGGTCTGTCACCTTCCTTCTCCCCAGCGCCCTGCATCACTTCATGTGACCCATCGCCTTGCCCAGGCCATCTTTAACCCACATCCCGCTATCCCAGGGCTAGCCCAGACTGCCCCTCCCCTCCACACCCAGCCCTCCACTTAGCCAAGGCACCTTCAGACCAGTTTGCCAAACTCCCACTTACCCTCCCCCACTTGCCACCCTGCATCACTGTCTCTGTTCCCCCCACCATAACAGGGGCCCAGAGCCCCTCCTCGCCACCCTACCTACCCGCCCCAATGCCAGGAACCCATAGCCCCCCCCCTGCCCTACCTACCCCCCCCCCATGCCGGGAACCCATAGCCCCCCCCCTGCCCTACCTACCCCCCCCCCATGCCGGGAACCCATAGCCCCCCCCCTGCCCTACCTACCCCCCCCCCATGCCGGGAACCCATAGCCCCCCCCCTGCCCTACCTACCCCCCCCCCATGCCGGGAACCCATAGCCCCCCCCCTGCCCTACCTACCCCCCCCCCATGCCGGGAACCCATAGCCCCCCCCCTGCCCTACCTACCCCCCCCCCATGCCGGGAACCCATAGCCCCCCCCCTGCCCTACCTACCCCCCCCCCATGCCGGGAACCCATAGCCCCCCCCCTGCCCTACCTACCCCCCCCCCATGCCGGGAACCCATAGCCCCCCCCCTGCCCTACCTACCCCCCCCCCATGCCGGGAACCCATAGCCCCCCCCCTGCCCTACCTACCCCCCCCCCATGCCGGGAACCCATAGCCCCCCCCCTGCCCTACCTACCCCCCCCCCATGCCGGGAACCCATAGCCCCCCCCCTGCCCTACCTACCCCCCCCCCATGCCGGGAACCCATAGCCCCCCCCCTGCCCTACCTACCCCCCCCCCATGCCGGGAACCCATAGCCCCCCCCCTGCCCTACCTACCCCCCCCCCATGCCGGGAACCCATAGCCCCCCCCCTGCCCTACCTACCCCCCCCCCATGCCGGGAACCCATAGCCCCCCCCCTGCCCTACCTACCCCCCCCCCATGCCGGGAACCCATAGCCCCCCCCCTGCCCTACCTACCCCCCCCCCATGCCGGGAACCCATAGCCCCCCCCCTGCCCTACCTACCCCCCCCTGCCAGGAACCCATAGTCCCCCCCCCTCACAGCCGGGCCGCACGAGCCCCTTGGCGGGGCACTCACCGCCGCCGGGATGCTCTTGCGTCCTCCCCCCTCACGTGAGCGGCGGCCTCTCCTGCGCTCTGCCGGCTTCCGTCTCGCGCGCCGTAAAGCCGCAATGGCCGCGCCCTGCCGCCATCTTGGGTGTGGCGGCTGACACACACACACGGGGGCGGGGGGGCAGCTGGGGGCGGTTTCCCCTTTCGGTTCGATCCAAGTCCCGTTTGACACTCTTCGGGGGGGCTGGGCCGCGGGAGCGCGTCTTGCCACACTCAAGATGGAGGCGCCGGCTCCCCCCTCAGGGAGCGGCTGGTTCAAGGGTCAGCGCGGCCGCGAGCCCCAGGCCGAGTGTGAGGCTGGGACTCCCCCTCAGGGGGCGCCGCCGCCCTGCAGCCTGCGCGGGGCAGAGCCGCCTGCCGGGGCCGGGTAACCGAGAGCCGCCCCAGGGAGCCCCCTGCTGCCTGAGCGCCCCGGTGCAGGGCCATGGCCGAGCCGAGCGACGGCCCCGCGTGCGCGCTGGGCATCGATCCGGGCACCACCTCGGTCAAGGCTGCCCTGCTCGAGGAGACGGAGCAGGGGCCCGTCGTGACCCACAGCTGCTCACGGGAGACCCAGGCCGGGGGCCCGGCGGCTGGCGCGCAGGTGAGACGAGGGGCGGCGTGGCGAGGTCGCCCAAGACGGCGGCGGCGCCTTCCCCCCCGCGCAGCTGTGTGCCACCGTGTCCTGTCCGCACCGGTGTCGCGGCCTGGCAGGATGCCGCTTGGCCCTTTACCGACACAAGGGAAAGGAGTCGGTGGCAGTGTGTCAGGGAGGTAAAATCCCACCGGATCGGTTAACCGGTTAAACGTTATGATTAACAGGTTAACCGATTAAAAGTGGGGAGTGGACGGGGGCCGCTCCAGCTCCATGGGTTGTGGTGCCCCCCCCCCCCCCTCCACCCCCGCCACAAGCAGGAGCTGCTGCAACCACTCCGAGCAGCCTCTGTCTGCTGTAGAGGAGGAGGGAGCTGGGCCAGATCCACCTTGGACAGGGGCTGCTCCAGCTGGCTGGTTGGAGCATCCATTGTCTGCTGCAGCGGTGGTGGATGGGAGTGCTCCAGCCCCTACTAGTTAACTGGAATGGGTAGGTTAGGCTTACCGATTAACCACATCCCTAGTCTGTATGTCTGAAATCTAATTTAAAATACTTCTCTTGTGCTGTATGAAAAAAACAAGCTGAGTAAGCTTCTAGACAGGTCAGGTTTTCTTTTTTAAATCAGTGGTTAAGTATCTGAAAGGTTAAGTCAGATAAAGGCAGAATAAATGCTGATTAGTGTTTCTGTCTATCTTGTAATAGACAGGATGTTGATCCCATGGTATTTGCAAGACAGTCCAATAAAAAATATTACCCCCCCCACTTTTTTTCTAGACTGTAGGTCATGAATCCTTAGGAACTCTTTTTTTTTTTTTGAATAATTTGTGGAGTTTCAAGACAGACATAGCACTAAACCCTTTCTGACATGACACCACAGTTAATTGTCAGAGTAGACTTGATTCTGTCACGATAGAGTGAAACTGAAAGGCCAAATCCAAGTTATATACTTTCCTTGGGCTCAGTGGCGCTGCAAAATAAGCTATTTTGACTTAAGCGACGCAATTTACATAGCTCAAGTTGTGTGACTTATTTTGGATTTAGCCCTGTGTGTAGACGTGCCCTAAGTTTCCATGTTGGTATCCAGCAAATTGTTTTATTGCTGATATTTGCCAGGTTGCAGTACTAACTGAAGTTTTTTGAGACATCCAAAGTAATACTGTATGAGGCTTGAAAGCTTGTCTCTCTCCAACAGAGAACTGGGCTAATAAAATCTATTACTTCAGCCACCTTGCCTCTTGTTGCAAATGACAAATAAACACTCTTACTGAGGCTGTGTCTAGACTACATGCCTCTGTCGTCAGAGGCATGTAGATTAGACACATAGGCAAAGGCAAATGAAGCAGTGATTTAAATGATCGCGGCTTCATTTACATTTACATGGCTGCCGCGCTGAGCCGACAAACAGCTGATCAGCTGATGTCAGCTCAGCGTGGCAGCCATGTACATTTAAATGAAGCGGCGATTATTTAAATCGCCGCTTCATTTTACTATGTCTGGTAGCCTAATTTACATGCCTCTGCCGACAGAGGCATGTAGTCTAGACGTACCCTAAGATGGAGCACCCACGGGGACACTCCTCAAAGAAAAAAGATCTTTCCTGGCATCTTAATCTTGTATGTGATGTGGCTTCTCAGGGAACAAAGACTAACAACCCTAACCCATTTTGAACTTTACCTTAGAATGTGATCAGTAACTTCATATGGGCACTGTTTAAGTAGGGCATCATAAAGGGCTTCTGGTCCATTTTGTCTATTGATCCTGGATGGCTCCTTCCCCACTCTGACATGATAAATGCAGAAGTGGGGGCCAGCAAGTGTACTCCAAAGCCTTATCTATCAGGCTTTGGTATAAAACTTCCCCAAAAATCTTAAAAACCTAGATTTTGGGACTAAAACTTCTGCTGCCACCACCCAAATATTAATAACGAGATTAGGGGAAAGGTCATTTGGGAAATCTCACCCCTATTATAAAAATCAAGACGCACAGTAACCAATGCCAGGTTAATAAAAAGGAAGGAGAAAACTTTTATTATTACAACAATATTCCTGTTGCAAGTATAAGGATCAGATGGAAAGGTAACAAAATATACTCATGGAGGAATTACACCATGGGCTAGAACTTAGTTAAAACGAAAAGCCAAACAACTCTTAAGCAGTGCCAGATATCGGATCCCATACCTAACCCTTAAAACAATAAAGCCTAACAAAACTACCTAAACTTTACACTACTTACAGAAAGTGAAGAATTGTTTCTTGGAGAGAGAAAAACATGCTTGTCCCTCCCTGTAGCTGCAGAGGACTCTCAGAGAGACAAAGGAGAAAAGAAAAAAACCCAAATTCCTTTGTCCCAGTTTGAAAGTCCCACCTACATTCCTACTGGTCACTACACCTGGCTAGGTGTAGTTAACCCCTTAATCCCCAGGCTGCTGGCTAACCCTCATAATCATGACAGATCCATCCGGCGAAAAACAGGGCAGAAAGATGGAAGGTACCTCTTTCTTCTCTTAAGGCCTAAGATCATAACAAGGCCATTGACTTTGGTAGTAATAAAGGGGCTAAAGTAGTACATATAAGAAGTACAGATTGAACCTCTCTAATCCAGCATTCTCTGGTCCGGCAACATCCATGGTTCATTATGATTTTAGTTAGCTGGATGTCCACTTAGCATTTGTGTAGCCAAAGTTCCCATGGCCCCATAAAGTTTATTTACAGCCACCAGTTCTGACTTTCAGTGTTCTGTGCCCCTGACTCTCATTATCCCTACATGTCTTCGAAGAGCTGTTGTAGTGTTGGTAATGCTGCTTGAAAATATTGACCTCCTATGGTTCAGCAAATTCTCTGGGTTAGCACCAGTCAGGTCCCGAGGGTGCCAGACTAGAGAGGTAATAACAGCAATAGGTTAGTAATAATATTTGTTTATGCAATAAAAATTATATATTAATAGATTAGTGTGTGAAATTAAACTTTAGTTTCTAATGTATAATATTTAGCCACAAATTATCTAAATTAGTGTGAGTTGACACTTAGAACTATGTAGTAATTTGGTAATTCAGCTATAATAATAGTGTATTGTTATGTTAAATAATAGATAATGTTCCCGTCTACCTACAGTATCTTTGCTTGAATAAATACAGGCACAAACATCAGACTTAGGAACATGCTCACTTACAAACAAAAGCTCACCTGCATCCCTAGGGACATCTTTAGCATTTATGGGGCCTTAGGCAGTACAGTAAAACTCCATTAGTCCGGCATCCAATGCTCTGGGACTCCTGATGGTCCGGCACCATCAGGAACCCGGAAGTGCTGGGCAGCCGGACAGGCTTCCCCCATTCAGCTGCTGCTGAAACTGACCAGCAGCTGAATCGGGGAAGCTGGGAGCAGAGCAGCTGGGGTGCTGCCGGGTTGGTCCAGTAGCGCTGCCCCTCGGGGCTGCGGAACCAACCCGGCAGCACCCCAGCTGCTCTTGGGGACGCCTGCAGCAGAGCAGCTGGAGTGCTACCGGGTTGGTCCCGCAGCGCCAAAGGACAGCGCTGCGGGACCAACCCGGCAGGACCCCAGCCGCTCCGCCCCAGGG